GAGGTCTGAATCACTTGTAGTGAAATTCATTCCATTGGCGCTTGAAAAAGAATCGCCTGCAGTACCAGAATACCCGCCGACAGTCAGACGAAAGTGCCTAAACCCTGTTGCTACTCTGAATGTTAAATATTTTGCGTAGGCAGTCTGTCCGTCCCAGTCTTCTAGATCCACGCGCAGCTCGTGGTTTGTGTGATGGTACCGATTTAGATTTAAAAGACCAAACCAAAATTATGTCAGAGGGTTGCCAAAGCCTCTTCTGTAGTACACAAGCCGCCGGTTAAAGTTCTCCGTACCGTTTACTCGTCTTAAAACCACCAACCAGCCGCCGCCATCAGTGATCATGTCGCAGTAAGCAGTGTCGCTAAGATGCTCTGCCAACTCAGAGAGATTTTCCCAAGTTGAACGAGAAGCACTCCCAGTGTACAAGGCATGCCATGGCGCAATCTTCCGTTGAATTCACCACAACAGAAGATATTTTGTGACTTGTGAGGCGATGAAAAGCGTCCACATCATAGTCGAAGTGTCTGAAGGAATCACCAGCTTGTATTGTAAGCTGGACTGTTCGCAGGAACAAACCAACGAAAAGAAAATCTAAAGGGCTCTGCGTATCTGTTTTTACAAGGTACTTCGAAACATGTTAGCAGATAAGATAACTGCACATATATATACCATCTGCCAGGACATATGTATCAATATTAATAAAAATCTTCGAGTCAGAGACAGACACCGTTATCTACACTGCTTTCGTATGGTGTTAATTGAATGAATACTCATTACTTTTAAGAAAAGTTGTGCGTCCATTTTATAGTCGAAGTGGGCGAAGGAACCGTGAGTTTTTTCATATACTGTAAGCTGGATCAGTACTCGAAGTAACAGAAAAACTATATTTTCTTGCATAAATGCTAAAACATAATTCTTCAGTGTGAGTGGGAGCTAAATTAATTTCAATTATTGCCTTGTTAGCCCATTTATCGCCAGAGAGGTTCAGTTTAATTACTTTCA